TATATATATTAGAAATGATTTGGAAAATATTTGAACACCTTGTCTTAAAATATTTTATTCATCATGTTAAAATAAAACGCTCCATAATCAATTTTTTTCTTTTCTTTTTTTAATTTTTCCAATTTTTCGGAAAAAAAACAAAAAGGCTTCAGGAAAAAAACAGAAAAAAACCATTTCCCCCCCAAATTTTTCTGTTTTTTTTCCCGGGCCTTCACATCTCTACGCCTAACTGACTGTCTCTGCTTCTCCAGGTCTGCCACCTTGGCCTCAAGGGAGCAAACACGTTCCCTGAGAACCAGGAGCTCCTTGCACCGAGCACACACCCAAGACTTCTGTCCAGTGGGCAGACAGTGATACTCAAGTCCCCGAGAGTCTTTTCTGTGCGCCTGACTGTCTCTGCTTCTCCAGGTCTGCCACCTTGGCCTCAAGGGAGCAAACACGTTCCCTGAGAACCAGGAGCTCCTTGCACCGAGCACACACCCAAGACTTCTGTCCAGTGGGCAGACAGTGATACATGTGACACTCCGTGCAAAACACTGGATAGCCCCCAACCCCCTGCTGGCATTCTGGCTTCATAATTCTTTTAAAATAAGTAAATCCCCCTTTTAAAATCTTTTGTATTTATGTGGTTTTCCTTGTCGAAGTCAACTTACCTTACTGGGAAGACAAGGAGCCTAGGGCCTTGGCTTTCTGGCTCTTCCTGGGCTTCTTACAGAGCCCCTAGTCTAAGAGCCACAGGCAAAGAGCCCTTTAGCTCGTGCCAAAGGCTCGTGGCTCTGGCAAGGTGCTTTCTTAAATACTGAATTACTCCCAAACACAGTCCTCCCACACAATATCCTCAGCTGAATCCCCTCAGCTGAAAGCAAGTAAAAAAACACTCACCCCTCTAGCAGCTCTGTCTCCTGCTCAGAGCTCAGTATCTGGTTATAGCTCCTTTAAAAGCTGTTGTTTGGCTCTTGCCTATATCAGAGAGTGAATCTTTGCATCTCAGAGCCTTGAATTAAACATGATATCAGAAATGCAAAGCCAGATATGTTCACATTTCTTACATTTAAAAATGAGCCCCTCTGCCAGTGCACTCCCCACACAATGTAACAAGCTAGCATGGTGCCCAGTCAAGCCACAGATCTCTTTTTTGTGTGTGTGTGGTCTGACATAAATGAAACACCAGCTGCATGGAATGTTCACACACAAAGGTTTTCTTACATGCCCAGTATCATGTTTAAAACTGGCCCAAATATTTCACTTTTGTAGAATTTCTTTGCCAGTCCAGAAGCAAATCAAAATCAAGGGGAAACGAGAATTCTTTGAGATCCTTCAGGAAAGTGCTCCAAGGACCAAAATGCTGCCATAAAATAGCTTGGCTTTGTGGGCCACCTAGTACTTTCAGGCTGTGTACCATCAATAAGCATTTTAGTGAGCTGGAGGCACCCCTACTGTGTAGTTATCCTTGTTCACTGTACATGCATTCATTTTTCTATTCTGCCATGCTATTTTTCCTAGCATTTTGAACTGGAAAAGCTGAAACTGGTGCCAGAAATGTGTCCAACCCATCTTCAAAATAGACTATGTTACCTGTATCATGGGCACCTATATGTGCATGGTGAATAATGTTACAAAAATATACACACAAAGTGCTCAGTGCAGTTTTTGAATTATTTACAATTATATAATTGTGTGGAAAGATGTGAACTTCTGCTACAAATATGATAGTAAAGAACTCTTCTAAGAACAGCAGTGGTAATTGCTAAGATGCTGATTCAACCAACATATTCTTCCTTGCAAGCTACTAACTCATCTTCACCTCTTCTTTTCAGGTCCTTTTATCTACTCTGACATTCTTGACTACAAGAACCTGCGTGAGATAGTAGTGAACAACCGGATAACGTGGCTGTTTCATTATAGTGCTTTGCTCAGTGCTGTTGGAGAAGCAAATGTCCCTTTGGCAAGATCTGTAAATATCAATGGTGGGTAGCGTCAGCTGGCTTAGTATTGTTTGGTTAACTGTTCATGTTGGCCAAGAGAGATGAAGATCTAGGCGTAGAGGCTGATAACTCTGTTTGCCATTCCCAGGATTGCACAACATTCTTGACATTGCTGCTGAACACAACTTGCGACTCTTTGTACCCAGCACAATTGGAGCATTTGGACCCACCTCCCCTAGAAACCCAACCCCTGATCTCTGCATCCAAAGGCCAAGGACGATCTATGGTGTCTCCAAAGTCCATGCTGAACTCATGGGAGAAGTAAGCATTCCTCTTCAGTCTATGTGATTGTTTTGCCGCTTCAACATGTGGAGAAACTTCATCTATCATGAGAGAGGTTTAGTATAAGTTTTATAAGGGGTCAATAACCTGAAACTCAGTCTAGACAAGATGGAGATGCTGTTGGAAGAAGAGAAGGTCTGTATGGGATATGTCTTTCCCATACTGAGCTGTGACCTCCTGAGGGATCAGATTTGCAGCTTAGTGTTGTCTTTGTATCACAAAGCACTTTTCATTTACTTGAGTTGGTTCACCAGCTGCAGCCTTAACTGAGAGAACCTAATCTTGCCACCATTATCCATCTTTTACAATGTAATCCTAAAGCAAATATACATCCTTCTAAGTCCATTGGAGAGGTGGAATTTTGCTTTGGACTACCTTGTTCATAGTGGCCAAGTTAGACTACGGCAATAAGTTTTATATGAGACTGCCCACAGAAAGCATTTGGAAACGTTACCTGTTTTAATATATAGTGGCCTCATTAACTGCATCATTGGTAAAATTTTGACAGTGTCGAGTTTCATTGCCTCCAGTTCAAATAGCATGCTGAATGTTCTGCCTTTGACCTTTAGAGTTCATAATTGTCAGGGGCCTGGGGTACACTGGGTACGGCCTGTTCCTGTGTGAGCCTGCCCATGTTTTAAAATCATATGCCCCTTCAGAAGTGAGATATATGGCTACCAGAGATGAGACATTTGCAGTTGCAGAGCCTGGATTGTAGAATGGCCTCTCTAGGTACATGGGCAGCTGTCCACTTGACTTCCAAGAATTTGTTAAGAACCTTTTTGTTTACCTAAGCCTTGGTAACATGTGCCTTTCTGCAGTTTGTCGATTCTATTTGAAAATATTTGGATGCACCCATTGTTTCTTGCTGGTGTGTGTCGTTCCCCCACCCTGTTTTTAGTCTGATTTCTTCAAGGTTTTTATGATTGTTTTAAACTTGAATTTAGTCGCCTCAGGAAAAGCCTAAAGTCAGAAAGCTAATTGGCAAAATATGGCTTTGGATGCCACTTAAGAAAGATTTAATATTTATGTAGGCTTGTTTTTTATATATATTTCCTGTAACAATAAAAAATTAGACAAAAAGAATGCATTGTAAACATTGGCTCAGATGATCGTCTACCATGAAACTTGTTTCTGCAGTGCAATTTCACCTTACAGTACTTTATTAGTCTTCATTCACTTAAGAGGAATAGTCTGCAGTCAACTGTTTCAAAATATTTGTTTCAATAAGGAAAAAGTTCAGTCTGCCCAGATTCTGTAAGGTGTGTTTGATGTAGAATTGGTGTCAAAAATTGTTTTGTAGCCATGGAAGGGCATTTCCACAAGCCGAGGAGGGCAGGGCAATTTTTACCAATTCATTCCCTCTTACATATCTATATGTTGAACTCAGCATTGTTTATGGGGAACCTCTGACTTCTCAGAACACCATTTAGGAGAGTTCAGGTAGCTTTGTTACACGAAGAGTGATTAACACATGGAATTCCACCGCCACAGGAGATGGCGGGGGCCACAAGCATGGACGGCTTCAAGAGGGAATTAGATAAACATATGGAGCAGAGGTCCATCAGTGGCTATTAGGCACAAGGTATAGAGAGGAACTCTCAGTCTGGGGCAAGTGATGCACTGTTTTCTTGGTGCTTGGGGGGGCAACAGTGGGGAGGGCTTCTAGTGTCCTGGCCCCACTGGTGGACTGATGGCGCCTGGTATTTTTGGCCACTGTGTGCCAGAGTGTTGGACTGGATGGGCCATTGGCCTGATTCAACATTGGCTTCTCTTATGTTCTTCTTACACTGGGAGAGGAGAAGTCCATTCTGCTTATGGTGCTTTGGATCCACGCCGTAATATTTTGTCCAGGTAAGCTAGAGTACTTATCAGGTACTCCGATTGACTGCATGTTGTATTGTTCTTTTCAGTATTACCATTACAGGTATGGACTGGACTTCCGGTGCCTGAGATATCCTGGCATTATCTCAGCTGATTCCCAGCCTGGTGGGGGAACAACTGGTAAGAGAGCAAGCAAATTATTATATATCTTGTCAGTATGGGATTAGCCTTCAGATACATCCTAATGGGGAAAACAGACTGCATGTTATGCTTGCCAGAGGGTTTTGCTTGTTGGGAATTCCAAAGGCTCCAGGGGAAGGTGGAAGGAATAGACTTGCTCAGTGGAGGGAGCACTGTCCTCTGCCTCTGTTTGCTGCTTCCTTCCCCTTATGCACTTCAGCTGCTTGCTCCTGCGTGTAAACCATAACCAGGGCAACCGAAAGTGAACAGATGAGGTGCCACAAGGAGAAAGTTCTATGAGTACTTCTGTTTGCACTGGGAAGGAAAGAGTTGAACAGGTCTTTCTCTTGCATGGGAGAGGGCCTAAGATAGAGTTAAAGTTGATGACCCATCAATTCTTAAAATCTGGCCTTTGTGTAGCTTAAGATGGCAAGGAAACTCAACACACTCTTCATCTTTAGCCAACACACACAACAGTTGATTTAACAAGGGCCGTTTCCACATGGCAACAATTCTCTGTGTAGTTCTTTTCAGTGGTATGTGTGAAGAAATGCATTTTTTCTTTGGAGGTTTGCAATGAGCAAAACCTCCACTCTGAGTTTTAAAAGATTTTTTCCCCTCTGTGGGCAGAGAAGAGGCCATGGTGACCAGGCGCTGGGCAGTGGGAGACACAGAGGCAGGGCTGCAGAACTGGGAAGGGACACTGGGAGTCGTGACCCTCCCAGTGGGTAATTCCTACAGAAGTCAGGTGGTGGTGGTAAGCTACCCAAGAGAGGAAGAAAGTCCTCTTCACATGGTGGGGAAAACCTTGGCAGGCACGTTGGAATAATGCCTGCAGACCAGAGCAGGCCCGTTCTGCCGCAGTATACATACAAAGGCATTCACAGTGGCAGAGTGTTCACACAACAGTTTTCCAAACAATTTCCTGATATGAGCCCCCCCCCCCTTTTTTTTGGTCTTGGCCACAGCCATGTGGAACAACTCCATTCTCCTTTGTGTGTATGTTTTTTTGCCCCCCAAAGGGGATTTTTAAATTGCATTTCTAAATACTATAGCTCCTGCCAACCTAGCAGTTCGAAAGCAAGAAATTGCAAGTAGATAAATAGGTACCACTTCGGTGGGAAGGTAACAGCGTTCTGTGCGCCTTGGTGTTTTGTCATGCCGGCCACATGACCACGGAAACGTCTTCGGACAGCGCCGGCGCTTCGGCTTTGAAACTGAGATGAGCACTGCAACCCTAGAGTCGGACTCGACTGGCTTTCGAGCAAGGGAACCTTTACCTTTAAATACTATAGAAAAGGGAAGGGGTACTAATACAAACTATAAGAAAGGAAGACAGAAAAGAGAATCCAAGGTGTGGTGATCATACACAGTGCTTACAAATATGGCATAAACAAACACTTTCAGTTGTTGACCTTGAAGGCGACAATTCAGTAAATTGCTTATAGAAGCTCTAGCCCATACTGACTGTTTGGAGTATATTGCTTAAACATGTTTAAATCTCTGTTATGCAAACATCATGCATCCTCATCATCTCATAACATTTAAAACAATAATTTCTTTTGTATCCTAAAACAATAATTTCTACCCATCTGGCTGTTATATTCTACCCATCTGACTGTTTAGAAATTCTTTCCAGAAATTAACTATAATCATCCCAACTTCCAAAATTATTTAGGTGGAATTACTAGACAAAATAGGACTTGATTTATATATACATCCTCCAAAAACTCATATCATTTAAAGTCTTATACCAAATCTGTATAGGCATCAGATTACTTCCCCTTACATCTCAATTACCTTCCCACCAATCTAATATCTTAATATTAACAGAGCCTATTTTAATTAAACTTATTAAAGTCATTTCAAGAAACTTCAACATCTCCTCCATTTATAATCCTAATCTAAATTGATATAATACTAGTTCTCAGAGAATCACCACAATACATTTAAGTTTCATTTAAGCAGTCACTGTCAAGCATCCTCCTTTTCTATATGAGCCCTTTACTTCCGTTTTACCAAAAAACACTCCCCCCCATCAAAGTTTTATCGCAAAAAATCGTCACTTAAAAGTCTTCTTCCCTCAGTCCTCTTCAGCCAACAGTCCATGTTGTTAATATCTTCTGGAAATCCCTATATATATAAAAAATAGCTATCTTCTGGACAATTAAACCACCCATCAACCTTTCCCACAGCATTTCTTATAATGCAAATTATTCCTGCTTTTAGCTCTGTCCCCCCCCCACCAGAATATATAATTTTTAAAAAAAATTCTGAGAGGAGTGTTCCCCCCCCCCACTTATCGGAGGAGGACTTTGCTCCATCTCCACCCTTCTCAGGAATGTTTATTGTCCAGCACGCCTTCCACTTCCTGAAGAGGACTGAGTTTTGTTTTAATTTTTTCAACGCCATCCGTGGCCATTTTCAGATTACCGAATTGCAAGAGTCCCATATATCCGTCTGTTTGTTTTTTTTCACAAAAGTTTATTCAGAAACATAGAAGAGAACATGTTACAATAACAAGAAAAAAGCATCAACATTAACAACACTTGTCAAAAATGTAGAATGCGAAGAGATAGAGGGGTAACAATCTTGTGCTTCATAGTGAATTTTGAAGTGTAACATTCCTAATGGAATAAAAGATCCAAACATTACCAACACAATTGTTATCCATATAACATTATCTGATATTTAGCTGTAGATATAGATTTCCAATCAAACTTATCAATCGAAATTTTATCCAAAATCGGGTACCATTTGTCTAGAGGGTCCTGGAAAACAATTTCATTTTGGGATATGGTATTGTGAATCGAAAATTTTTCTAAAAGAAAAAAATCCCAAAGTTTATGTTTCCATTGAATAATTGTGGGAACATTTTTATTTTTCCATTGTCTGGCAATTACTACTTTTGCTGCGGTAATCATTAAATTGACCATTTGCTGTGTGCTTAGTAGGGGTTCCTCTATGGGCCATTTGGGGAAATCCCCCCCCCCCCCCGTCTGCTGAGGAAAGATTTCACCGCACTCTACAGCAGCCATTCAAGGAGATGCTTACAGTCTCTTTAAAAAGAAAGTTTCCAATATCTTTTGGTAATGCTTACAAGCTCTTACAAAGTTATTTTATTTTTGGAGGGGGGTTTCCCCCCTCTATCTGCTGAGAGAGGATTACGCCACACTACTGCCACCATTCATGAAAATGTTTACAGTCTCTTTAAAAAAGAAAGCTTCCGGTACCCAATGGAGATGTTTATAGTCTTTTTACAAAGAAGATTTCCGGTGCCTGTATAAGCGCTTCAACTCCCGTACGTTTTCCAATTCAATCCTTTCTCTCTTTTCACTCCATCCACCCCCTTAAATGTTTTATAGTTTCATTACTATACGGGGAGCAAACTTCTTCGCCCCCCACTTCTTCTTTTTTGGGGGGGTGGCCTTTGCTTCACTCTGACCCTTTCGGGGATGTTAACAATGTTTAAGAAGAAAATTTCAGATGCATTCATTCTAGCCATTTCCAGCCACCAACTGTGCTTCACTCTAGCCATTCCCAGCCAGACAGGGTTTTGGAGATAAATATTTTCTATTAAGGTTTTTAAAGTCCTGAATGTTTGCTTAATTGTTAATCAGTTCTTAAATCTCAGTGATTCTCCATCACAGTCCCTTTAAACTCCATTTGTCCAATAGTAATTAATTCCGATGTCTGGAGAAGGGGGGGTCTGCGGCTACTTCCCCCCCCCCATGCTTACAAGGATAAACTTCGCTTCCCTCTGGTGCTTCATTTTATTTTTACTCACTCTTCATCCGTCAGTTCATTGATTCTGCCAGTCGCTTAATTAATACTTGATCACCACTCACTTGGTCCAGTGTGCGTAGCTTAGTCTAATACTGGAATACAGCAGAGAGACCATTGGGGCAAACAAGCCGGGGTGGTGGTGAATCTCAGTGCCCCCTGGCTCAGGACCCATCCCACAGGCCCTGGGAGGGTACATACGATCGCACCCCCTCTCTACCCGCTGGTTTGCGGTCCGTATCCCCGGGAGCGTCTGAGAGAGACGGCTGCCATCAGCCCGCCAAAACTGGAAGAACGAACAACTCCATTCTCCAAACAGCCTTTTCTGGCTCAGGGCCTTTATCAAGCAAAATACATCCAGTTCCTTAGGAGAGACCAAACAAATTAGGGTTGCCAGGTCTGGGTTGGAAAATACCCAGAGACTTTGGGGTGGATGTGGGAGAGGACGGAGTTTGTGGAGGGGAGGGACCTCAGCATGGTACAATGCCATAGAGTCCACCCTCCAAAGCAGCCATTTTCTCCAGGGGAGCTGATCTCTGTCAGCTGGAGATCAGTTGTAAAAGTGGGAGATCTCCAGGCTCCACCTGGAGGCTGGCAACTCTGAAACAAATAATAGGAAACCAAACTAGTGAACTGATGTGTTTGGTACTTTTGGTATAATCATGATAGGAGTTGTGGTATTTTCTGCAGGTGCCTTATGCTTGTAGTTGACATTGAGGGACAGGGCACTGCAGTCATGTTGAAAAACCTTTCATTCCTCTAGACTATGCAGTCCAAATCTTCCATGATGCTGTAAAGACTGGCAAGTTCCAGTGCAACCTAAAACCAGACACTCGCCTTCCAATGATGTACATTAGCGACTGCCTGAGAGCTACCTTGGAGATCATGGAGGCACCTGCTGAGTCACTGAGCATGAGGACATACAACATTGGAGCCATGAGTTTTACTCCTGAGGAACTGGTTCAAGAGGTCCAGAAGCATATTCCAGAACTTGAAGTTGCCTACAACGTGGATGCAGTCAGACAAGCCATTGGTTAGTCCTTGTCTGTTCTCTTGTGGCAATCTACTGAAGTATCCTGAGTGTAGGAGATAGGGAACCTCCTGTCAGTACATGTTTATGCTCTGCCCTTGCTTTCTGCTTTAATATTAACTGTTCAGAGGCAGGGCCTTCTGCCAATATGTGAATGACCATGTCTTACACACTGAAAGATTGAAGTTGGCCAGTAGGTGAAAACTCAAGGAACGGGGCTGGAAGGACCTAGAGAACCTAATGAGACACTACCAGGCACAGCAGACCACACTAGGCTGTATTGGCCAATAGTCTTGACTCATATAAGGCAAGTTCCTCTGTTCATAAGACAGTAACAGAGCTCCTGCTGCATTGCTCATAGAAGAGAAAGCCAAGATTGAAAATATGGTATAAGAAATGTTCTGTTGGAATCTGTGACTGGATCTCCTGGTACTTGTTGACAAAAAGGTTGCGGGGCAGATCAGGACCACAGCACTGTTGGGGCAGAATAGCAACCCTCCGTGCTGTTTCCCTGATATAAATTGCACTTGCCCCTGAGAACAGTCCATAGAGGACTGCAGCTGCAGGTGTTGTAGTGGGAACACTCAGCCTGCTCTTGGAGGAACAAGAATGAGTGGAGCTGTACCCCCAGCCTTCTGCGGCATCCTGCACTTTGCAAAGTGTTCACGCTGGTAGAAAGAGTGCTGCATTTATACCCAAACATCATGTTAACTTGATTGGATGTGTTTCAATCCAGACAGCTCCTCTTTGTTACAAAAAGCAGCTTTGGAAGTGTGCGACTTTCATTGTATAAATGGGGAGGTAGTTATAAACTTTCCTTACCTGTTGCATCCTCCTCACTCAGTCTCACACACAGGGCTTTAGATCTGCATTTTACCCTTGCAAACACTGACCTGGAGGACAGATTTTACAGGGGAGGAGGGGAGTTTAGGCATCCCCTCCCTTCTGCCACTTCTCCCCCAAACAATGGCCACTCCCCATACTGCACTGCCTAAAGAAAAACAGCTATTGGAGTTTAAATACACAAATGCTTGTCATGTGCTGCTTGGTTCCCAGGTTCAATTTAAATCTTTCTTTTTTGTCATTGTTGCTTTTGTGTAGCTGACAGCTGGCCCATGGTTTTTGACGACAGCAATGCACGCCGCGATTGGGGATGGAAACATGATTATGACCTTCCGGACCTGGTGACCACAATGTTCAGCTTTCTTGGCTCTGCCTCCTCTATTACCAGGATTGCCCAGGTCAACTGACCCTCCTTGCATATTGCAGTCCCAATGATCAATGTGACTGGACCAAGGCCAAATGAAAATTTCCTCAGTTTCTAAGCCTTGAAGCAGCCCTGACACTGTTACACTTCCCACAAGTGTGTTGGGTGACTGATTTCTCTTCGTTCACCTTTCTCCCAGTTTTTATCAAGCTAGCTGAATATGACTTGGTAGTATACTGAGAACAGTGTTTCAAGTATTCCTGGTTGCAGTCTAGCTATTGGTCTTGTGGGCCAACATTATTTTTATTTCTATAAGATACAACTTGTTTCCCCCTCTAAAACAAAATACTTGTCTGATACCTCTTATTTCTTGGTGCTTCTTCATATCTTTTTGTTGGTTATTGACTTGAACTTTAGAGCTAAATTAACATTAGCAAATGCAGGGTTGGGACCACATATTTGCTGAGATAATGGGAATGTGGGAGCCAGGGGCATTTACAAGGGGATCAGCAGACAAAAGAAAGGGTGCCCTTAACCCTTCCTACACCAGCCAGTTCTCTTCTGGAAATGCCACTCAGATCATCAATATTAGCTTTTTTTTCCTCACAGCAGTCCCTTGAAGCTGATTGTGCTAAAAGACCAACTGGCCCAAGGGAACTCAAACCCTGGACTCCTCAGTCCAAGTTCAATGCTTTAACCATGGCATCCGCTCTTTCTACTAGATCTTCCAAGGTGTAGCTTACAATACACATAATCATACCAGAGACTTATGGCAGATTCATGCTACCAATGCATAATGTATTGTTTCAAACCCAGATCAATTTTTTTCTCACCTGGGTTGGATGTGCATGATGGTGTTACTCAGTGTAAAGGAACAGGACAGCCCAGCTGCATCTCAGGTGAGCGCCTCTTGACCCAGACACTGATGAGGTGGCTTCTTGATGCCGCATTTCTTAAAGAAGGTGCCGTGTTTCCTTGCAACATTTATGCAAGTGCACCAGGACTCTGGCAACAGAAACCTAACAGAGCAAAAAGGAAAGAACATGGCAGCAGAAGAGACAAAGGACTGGAATGCCAGTTGGAGATACAGGTGACCTGATAGGTCCTTGTTATGCCAGGGAAGAACTGCATGGTAAACTGGCCATTTGAGATGCTCACCTGCCCCAAGGACAGCTTGCCAACCAGCTAAGCTTTCACTGAGGTTGATCCTGGCATTATGTACATTAAGATCTTTAATCTGCTCACTTCCTCCAGCAGTGTAGCCGTGATGCCCAGGGGAGTGAGGAAAGTGATGATGGGCCTGCATGCAGACTTGGATATGCAAGTCAAAGGGGGGGGGGGCAAAGGAAGAGTCTGCTTCGACTTGGCAGCTCTTCTCCGTTTCTTCCACTTACAAACAAGAGCACTTTTTGGAGCTTCCGTATCATGTCATGCTTCAGTTGTGTCATTTCCACACTTTTCTTCCGTTCATTCTTTCTCAAATCTGCAAGAAATGGTGCATGTTTTCTTGCCCTGTGAAGATTCTGCTTACATGGGCACCATGGGTCATCTAATCCAACCCCATGCACAATGCAGAAAATTCACGACTACGTTCCCCCTACAATCCCAGTGATTCATGCTGTATGCCCAGAGCACGGCATAGGAGGACTTTTCTTAAATAGTTATGATTGCACTGTAATGGTCTATTGCTATTTAATAATTTACTTTCAAGTTTAATAGAAGTGTTATGGTGGTACAGTGCATGTGTGAAGAAAATAACAAAAAGGTAATGATGGCCACAAAAGACCCCTCCCCCCAAAGAATAACTGTGGTGTCACTGCAGAGCACATGTGGAAAGGGAAAGTTAGAAAAAGAGACAGAGGAAAGTGCATGAAGAGCTCCCGATGTGGACACTCCAGTGGCAACATCATGTCAGTGCATTCAGAGTGGCAACAGAAGCAATGTGAAGAATCCTTGTCATGTGGAAGCTGGCAAAGAGAGCTAAGAAGCCAAAGTTAAACTGCAAACCAGCATTTTTTTTCCTGTATGATATAGTGGTACACTCCCCTTGGATGAATAAAAATGTAAAAGTGTATATGTTCCATTTGTCTGTCTCCTTCATTGTAATATATGTCCTATAATTCATTCTGAATTAATGTAACGTATACTAAGGTCCATGAACTGGGCAAGGGTACTGTCGACTGACCATCCAGTTTGCTGCCTCAGAGTCTCCCTCACTTAGCTGATGGAGGTAAAATTGGTGACAGTCCGTAGTCCTTGAGAACTTCAGCATCCATGCCTCATCTGTTGTGGCTCAGGATTTCACGGTCACAAAATCCATTTATTTTATAAAGCTTGAACAATACCCACCCACCCACACTCTCGCACTCAAGGGTCCCATAAATTTCTAGAATATCCTTGGAGCACAGTGAGTACAGTGGCACCTTTAAGGCCAACAAACTGGACTCAAACTTTGTTCTACTGCTTCAGATCAACATGGCAACCACCTGGATCTAGAATATCCTTAAGTAATCTTTCGACAGAATAGTTAACTGTCTTCAGAACAGGGAAATGACTTGAATGACTGACACCATAATGTTGACATACCTCCTGAAAACATGGTACAGTTAGGTATTTCTAATAAGGCAATTATATTCTGGCATCCTTACAGACTTAAGACATTGATGTAACATTTCCAGTGGCATTATTTTGTAACCCTGTAAGGGAGGCCAAATATTGCCCCATTACTGTAGCTAGGGAGCTGAGAGAACGCAGCAGAGATGTGACATGGGGATCTGAATCAAAGGCTCACATATCTAGCCCCCCAAACCCTGCACCACCCCTTGTGCTGGCAATTTATTCTTTCTCCAGAGGAACTTGGAAATTTGTGATGGTGCTAGGATATCTCCCAGAACTGTCACCACCCCATCTAACTTCAGATTCCAGAGTTCTTCAGGAGAAGCTATAGCCAGTAACAAGGCCGGCTATAATGACGTGACTAGAGGGAGTTGCCTGAACGTGAAGGTGTTGGGATGCAGAAACCTCCCATCCTGCCCATTGCCAGCCAGATGGGTACCTGCTCCCCGTCCAAGCCCAGGAGCCAAAGACAATAACCCCCCAACAAACACTTTTTAAAATCAATGTGATGAGCTGTGCATTGTTTTCCACTAGCCTATGTCTGCCCGTTTTAGTTGCCTGAGCAGCCAAAATAGCTGAACTTAGTTCAAGAAGTCCTGTAGGGGCATTTTGTAAGGGGATGCACATTGGGGCAAAAAAATCAAAATGTCAAGTATGGGCTAATGGGGTCTGAACTTGCTGTGACAGGGGAAAAAATCTTTGGGTCATAGCTCAATGAAAGCGTCAACCCAGTATGCTGCAGCAGTGAAAAAGGCAGACTGTGTTAGAGAATAAAACAGCCAATATTGAATGCCCCTGTATAGATCTATGGTGGAGCCTCATTTGGAATACTGTTTACAGTTCTAGTCACCATATCTCAAAAAGGACATTGCAGAGTTGGAAAAAATGCAGAGGAGGGCAACCAAGATGATTAGGGAGTTAAAGTGCCTTCCCTATGAGGAAAGGGTGAAGAGTCTGGGAATTTTCAGTTTAGAAAAGAGACGACTAAGGTGGGGGGGGGCATGACAGATTTATAAAATTATGCATGGGGAGGAGAGAGTTGACCAAGAGAAATTTTTCTCCCTCTCCCAAAATATTGGAATCCAAGGGCATCCAATGAAACTGATGGGCAGTAGGCTCAGGACAGAAAAAAGGGAAATACTACTTTACACAGAGAGTGACTAAAATGTGGAATTTGCTGCCAGATGGCCACAAGAATAACCAGCTTTAAAAGAGGATTAGATAGATTCATGGAGGATAAATCTATCAGTGGCACTCAGAGGCACTAATCCTCTGACTCCTGGAGCCAGGAGGCAACATCAGGGGAAGGCCTCACCCTCTATGCCCTGTTGTTGGCTGTCTAGAGGAAGCTGGTTAGCCACTGTGTGAGATATGATACTGGCCTAGATGGACTATTGGTCTGATCCAGCAGGGATCTTATGTTCTTAGGGGGCAACAAAGAGGATTATCTCTGGATCAGGGGGGTAGGTGGCTGCCACCTCAAGCCGCAAAACATTGTTAAACTATATTAAACCTAGTAGGTTTATAGTGTTCTATGCATATTTTTCCTTTTCTACCTCAGTCTAACAGAGCCTTGGATGCAAAATAATATCTTAGCACTGTGTGTACTTGCACTTCCTTGCTCTATCTGTTTTTGTCTGTATAACAGAATCTGATTTTCCATTGTTCTTTCTTAGGGGAAAACATCGCTTCCATTAACTTTGCTTGAGAAATACTCAGTGATCCACTGGCTCCCTCCTTAGGAAGGTATTCTGTCAAATCTGAAAGTAAGACACACAAAACATGTGCCTCCCAAGTACTTAAACTGAAATAATATTTCTGTGTGAGCAGCTTGTATTATTAACAGTTCTGAGAGAACCTGAACTTCTGGTCAGGGCTGTAGCCCCAGTTTACATAAAATACAGTTTCAGTAAAATATTTGACCCACTGTGCCTATGAAGCTGCTCTACATCAGGTTATAGTGGAAGGCCTCTTGAAGCCTTCACACTCAAGTCACTGCTGTGTTAAAAGGGAATCCTACATCTCCCTCCTTCACTTGTAGAACTGTGTTCTATAAATGTCCATTGAGTTGCTACAGTGTTTAAACACCACCTCTTTCTTTCCTATAAATTGGACAGAAAGTCATGAGGGGAAATTATGCTGTGGTGGAGGGAAGTGAGTGAAACGGCTCAGGGCAACAGAAACAAATTTACAACAAATTCTGCAAGACTGGGGATGTGGGTTCAGAGACTATTCAGAACCCTCCTGCTTAAAATTTGGGGGCTTGTTGGGTGCTAACACACTGGAGAAGTAAGTGTGTTGGAGGTTTTTAGGATTGCAGTTGAGAACCAGCTTGAGAGAGTGCCAAATGCCAATTGCTCTGTTTAACAGGAATAAATACTCTCCTCTAGCTGAGGGGAAGCTCTTAGCATATCAGTTCTGTTCCACTATACAGAGAGAAGACGTTGGGATGTCTTTCCCTCCTCCAATACTGAGTCATCGATAATGGCTACTTGAATAAAATCCAGGTGGGTAGCCACGTTAGTCTGAAGCAACAGAAGAAAGTTTGAGTCCAGTGGCACCTTTAAGACCAACAAAGTTTAAGTCTGGGTATAAGCTTTTGTGTGCATGCACACTTCTTCAGATACATTAAAAAAGACTTCCTAAAGCATTACATATAAGGGGAGGGGTTAGTTGCTAGGATGGGCTAATTAGAATCAAGATGCATAAATAACTGAGCAATAAGTACAGCTAAGATTGGATCAACACAGTTGGTAAGACCTGTGGATAGCAGCAAATTAGCATGTAGATAATAAAAGAGTTAGCAACAGATGTGAGAAGCAAATTTGAGTCTAGTGACACCTCTAAGACCAACAAAAGTTAATTCTGGATATAAGTGAGAACAGCAGATTGGACTAACATCATAGTGCTGCTACACAGTGTTGAACTTGGGAGGAAAAATAACATCTCAAGTTCAAAAGCAGCTGTTGGGAATTCATTATCAGTAATCGATATGGAAGAGTTATGTTGTTGCCATAGAGTCTTTGCTCCAAGTGACTGTTGGTGGGCCAGTTGCCTACTCAGAATTCCAATCTTTACATTCTATTACCAGTTCAAGTGAGCAACAGGTGACTGACTGCCAATATACAGTGTTTTGTGAAAATACCCGTGAGTGGATTTCTAGTATGTCCTCCCCCCCCCCCCCGTGCAGTGTAGAGTTTACCTTAATTTGCCCTCTTAAACAGTTCCAGGATGAATTTAGGCTTGCGCTGGCAACGGATTTTAGACCTGAACTTGGACCCTTTAAAAATGTTGGGAGGGCCCACGGCACAGTGGGACCAAACACTCTTGTTTCCTGCCTCCCATGCCTTTTCAAGTTCTAAACAGCCATTTTGGCACTTGAAAAGGCATTAGTAAGGACAAGAGTCTCTGGGCCCACTGCACGGTGAGTCCTCACAGCATTTTTAAATGGCCCAAATTCAGCTCTAAAATGGCAGCAGCATCTGCAGGTTGGACCCATGGATGCCATCTAGTTTGTCCCCAGTTCATCTCCAATACAGAAACCACGGAGTCTCACAGATGCTCACTGGAAGGCCAGGATATTTCACTTCCTGAGGGAGCAAGCCTGAAGGGGGGAGAGGATAGGGCTACCAATTTCCAGTTAGAGCTGGGAGTTCAGAATTACAACTGATCTCCAGACTTTAAAGATTAGTTCCCCTGAAGAAAATGGCCCGTTTTGAGGGTGGACTCTATGGCATTGTACCTCACTGAGGTCCCCGTCCTCCCCAGGCTCCATTCCCAAATCTCCCAAGAGTTTCCCACCCTGGATCTGACACCCCTGCCTCTCCATCTCCTGCTGGAGACCAGGGAGGAGCTGCCAATCCTAAGGGCAGGATTCTCCACAGAATTCTCTCCCCCAACACCACCTTCCCCCCACACACACACACAGACACAAAAAAACCCCTAGAAATTTCCCAACCTGCAGTTAGGAACCCTAGGTGGGGTAGGTAGGGAAGATTTTTGCAGGCTTGCAGCAGCTGAGTTCCACCTGGCCTAAGTTTGCCTTCCGCTTCCTGCAAGTACTATAAAGTTTGGATGTGGCCAGAGGCCTGAGCTCTTAGCCTGTGGCTTGTAGATGGTACCTGTGGATGAATCAGCATTGATTCTCAACTCACTCAAGCCATATTTTTGTTTTTTTTGGTTGTTTGGTTTATCCATATTGCTGTTGTAAACTGGTTTTGTCCTTGGGTAGAATTAGAAAGTATGGTCCTGGTCACACGGGGGATTTGCCCTGCGAAAGGGATGGATTGAGGGAGCATCAAACGGGCGCGATCATACCACAACATCTGGGAAGCGTAGCGCACCCGTCTCCTGCCCATACCAGCGGCCTGAAGAAGCGGATTTAAAAGACACTGGGGGAAAAGTAGTAGCTTTTGGTAAATGGCGCGGCACGGGCAGGCATCTGATCGGAGACGCGCC